CCCACCTCCCTAGGGGGGGGGGGGGGGGGGGGGCTGGGACCAGACCCACAGAGCCCCCAGGGCCCATGGGCAGCCGCACCAGCTACACTGGCTGTAGTTTCTCCCCTGGCTGCCGTTGTTGACTTCACCTTCTGATTTTCATATTTGTTCCAAATAATTAAAGGTACTAAAGCCTTAGGTTCAGCATGACAGCCAGGCAAAGAGCATTTAACCATGATATTCTTCTCTTGACAGGTTTTTTTGTCCTTCATTTCCCCACAGCAATACTTGTTACCAATATGTATCTTTCAGCATCAACTTAATTAAAATGTTTAATGATTACAAATAGGACCGCACACGTTTATCCCTATAAACGCTGACTGGAATAAGCTGCTGCTCGCCTTGGTGGGTAGGCAGTAAGTCTAACAAGCTGTGCAATTAAATCTTGGGCATTGGATTTTACCCAGCTCTAAACAAAGAGAATGGCTGTTTGGGCTCATTGTATGAACAATGTAGTTTTGACTAGGTGGTCCATTTTTTTCGATAATCTATTTTCTTATAATATTTTTAGAGAATTTTTTTTTGTAAAAAAGTCTTACGGAATGCAGACTGGGCCCAAGTTCCATAAAATAAAACGTGTGCTATGGATAACCCTTGCTGTGCACATGTTACTTATCCAAGATCAACAAGAAAGATTAACCACAATCTGTCTACTGCTGCCTACACCCAAGGACACACACACGGTAAAGGGAAAATTGTAAGGCAATGTATAGTGGTTTGTATATGCTTTCTTTTTTATGTATTAGGGTCTAGGGTATTGGGGTTTATGTATTAATAATTTAATCAGGTAAAGTATTGCATATTTACATTTTAATTCTCATATATACCCAGAAGGTGGGAATCAAGGTTCATTTTCACACACTTTCCAGGTTTTCTTATCACCTGGTATAAAAAAAAATATTTTGTTCATAGAACACAATAGCTCAAGCTAAAATCTAAACTTGACAATGTTTCTGATTGTGTCTCTGATCTGATTCTAAAGCAAACGTGCGGCAATCCCACTGTAGAATTTGGTGTTATGATCACCCAGGACTCTCAGCCAGGGGGGCTGAGATGTGTCAGTAAGCAAGGGTTTATCTGGGTTCTGCTTGGGATCCTGGAACTGGGAGATTTCAAAGTGATTCAGGAGGGAAACAAGCTCTAGTCCTGGGTCCAGGGTTTAGCAGTGACCAGCACCCAATGATTGCAATGGTGTGCACAGCCCTTAAGGAAAGGATAGACTAGGGGAATTAGCTCCTGCTGGGAAATAGGAATAGGCCATATTCAGGGGTCATGAGGACTCTCCCAGAAGGCAGAGATGAGTCAGGTGAGCGCCTGCTGCGAAATAGGCACAGACGGAGTCCAGGAGTCAGGAGGACTCCCCCAGGAGGCACACGAAGACAGCCAGGGAGGCAGGGAGAACTGGTGAGGCTGGGAGAGCCGTGAGTCTGAGGGGCCGCCAGTACAAGTGCGGGACAGCACTTCCAAGAGAAGCAGTGAAGTGCTAATGTTTAAAGTGGAAGCCAGGAGGCTGTACTTGCATGGATGTTATGCTGAACAACCCCTGCAAGGGTATTCAAGTTGGATGTATGAACTTTTATATCGTAAAATAGATTAGCTGAACATCAAAATCCCAATAAATTCATACAGCCCAATTTTAGCACAAGTGTCGTTACTTAAGTTACTTTTGCAAAGATATATCCTGCTGCCTTAATAAAAGTATATAATGAGAGTAGGGAATGGTTATGGTTTCCATTTACTTTTTGGCCAGCAGACAAAACAGGAAGTGAGAAGAAATCTATCCAAAATCCTCTTTTAGATAGTCAACTCTGGAACAAATGGACCTGGTAACAACTCAAAATTCGTGATTTTCCTTCACTTTTACTTATGACAATGGTCACCAGGACAAATAGATAGGGTGAATCTCCCCATTGGGGCCACAGACTAGTAGTATTCTATTAAATGTAAAACTGAAAAAAACGTTGGCTTTAGATACACCCTTACTTACAAGTCTAACTACTTTGTGTATTCATTTTTATTGCAGTATTAGGAATTTAGGATGTGGAAGAGTTAGGTCTCCAAAACATTGATATTCTATGAAGCTGAGCACAAGAAAGCAAGAACTACTGAAAGAAGACTGAAGGAAGAGACAAGGCTAGAAACCAGATTATAAATCTCATATCATGTAAACAGTAGTTCAAATGAGGTGCTTGTTACACCTAACTGTCCAAACAGGGTTTTATCTTACAACTAAAAGTGTAATTATAGCCAAAACTTGTTTTTATTGCTTTTATGCAGGAAGTAACAGGAAAACTATCCAAAGTGAAGCACAATCACATCTTAGACAGTTATAACTGGCATAGGTGTTCCCACTAGAGGATGCACTCTTTCTACATTCATTTCAAGCATATGAACAAGCTCTGTTTTCTTAAATTCCAATTCACATGACGTGTGAAGGGTCATACCTATATATCACTGGGCCCAGTACCTGAATCATTAACACCCCCCCCCCTGGCATTTCAACTTCCATTTATAAGTTATGTCAGTACTAATATAAATATTATACAAATAAACTACTAGTATACAAATATACAAATATTATACAAATATGTTTGTGACCCAGATAACCTCATGATTCAAATAGCCTCTAGAAAGTTCCCTGCATTGCTATCTAAAGATCTACAATGAGCATTGTTACACCCTCAACCAAGGGCTGTTTTAGGAATGGTATTTTCTAAACAAACTTACGTTGACCACAGTGTGCTCCAGAATAACCTTTTGGACATCGACAGTGATCTTCTACACATGTTCCTCCATTCATGCATCGAATGCCACACTGAGGGACTGTAAAAGTAAATAAGAGGTTACACTATGTTACAAGAACTCTGTTTAGAATAGATGTAAAAGACATGAAGAGGAATTTATCATACCTTGAGCAGACAGAATCTAGTGCAGTTGTTAAATGACAACCAATCAGCGTCTCTCTTTTATTTTCAAAGCTTTCAAACGGAAGATAGAAACTGATTGGTTACTACGAGCAGCTGCTCCTGATTCTGCTCCAGTTTTAATAAATTCCACCTATAGGGGGTGATTTACTAACCTAAACACACGCACACACCAGGTGCGTGTGATTTTCACACAGCAAAACGTATTTATCAACCAAAAAGTCTCTAAAAGTGTTGATTGTATTACGTTACTTATGTGGCCGCTTGTAGCCGGCAAGCACTGTACAACATGCTGTTTGTAATTACCTTGAAAACCCAATAAATATTTGGATACAAAAAGTCTCTAAAAGCATATTTCCACTAATGCCATATATGGAAAAATCATGCACATGATGCATATATAATGCTGCTTCACAGTTTAGACAAAAATGGTTAGCTCATGCATTTACATTCCTGCATTCATCAACGCAAGCAACACAACATAGAGCTAATTTACACAACATCACCTTGCAATTCATGCAGGGCTTTGCACAACACACCTGCTGGGTGTGTACACACTACAAAGGTGTTTAGATTCCACCCATAGATCATGCTGGGAGGGAACACACTACAGAGGTGTATACATGTTCGTGGTGTGTTTATAAGGTTAGTAAATCAACCCCATAATGTCTGGAGTTCAGTTTTTTCAGTTAGGGTAGGGATTTAATAAAGTATATCAAAGTGGCAAGAAACTGTATTTGCTTCAAACATCCAATCATGTATTTAGGGTCCATTCACACTCCCACATTAGTATGTTGTGCTGCGTTGCAACGAATGTCTCTCAATTATTGTGTTGGAGTGCCATTCAGAGTGCCAAGAATCACCACCCTTAGATGGTGTAAAGAAACGCTGAAGTAAAAACTATTTTGTGTGTGTGGCTAGAGTAGGTAATGGTTAAAACCTCAATTTCTTTGTGTGCCATTTCTGAGATTTTCTATTTCTGTGATTTGAATTTCTTGTTTGAATGGTGTACTATCTTAAACATTGACAATGGTAATGAGGAAAAGTTAAAAAAAAAATCAATGAAACATAATCATAGCCCAACTCCAGCTTAAACTTTTCTTTTGATTTTCAATATAGGGTACGAGTCAGAACTTCTATCACATTTTTATTGCTTTCGTGCCCTCATTGGTTAGATCTCATCCCACTTCCTTTCTCAGTGACAGCAGAACAAGTAAGAGAGGATGCAGATGTCTCCAGGAAGGTAAGACACAGAGAACAATAAAAACTGGGCAGAAGGTCTAACTGATCCACACTCTACTATATAGTGTTTTAATTAATCTGCCTGTACCCATCTGAGAGATATCTTATCACTTCCTGTTCTTGTTACACCTTGTCTCAGAAAATGAGGATTAATTTCTTCAATGGAGACACAGACAGCAACAAATTTAACCTGACAAAGGTTCCAAGCCTTCCCCACTCTACACAAAACATATGAACTGTTTTGGAGAGTTGAACTTTAAAGCCCAGCTCTAGGCACAGTGTTTTTTCATATTTTTTAAAAACCTTTTAATATTAACTATGACTCCTTAAAATTACATTTACATAGCTGTCACTTGGCCCCAGTGAGCTGGTGCTGGAATGTACAGTGAGAGCTGCACTTCTGGCTCCCCACTCCATCACACCCGTGTCAATGAATAATACCAGTACTGGTGTGGTGCCTCTTCCTGTTCCCCTGCTGTGCCATTCACAAAGCACTGCACTGTGATAACGCTGTGGCTGTGTTCTGTATATTGCAGAGCAGAAGGAGGGGGCACAACACCAGAACTGGTGTCTATCATACACACTTGCAATGTAGAGGACAGCTGGAAATTCAACCCTCATTATACCTTCTGGTGGAACACAGTGAAATTGCAAATATTTCTGGTACTACCAGGAGGAGTTAACATGATGAGCTAATAAGGGGTGGAATTGGGACTCTACCAATTCACTTATCAGGAATAATACACGGTGTCAATCTTAATGCTTTCCATAATATCTTCAATATCTAAAACATTATGGAGTCTATTCACAAAGCTGCCAAAGGATCTGGCCGTAGCTTCGGCCGATCCTTCGGCTGGCCTCGGCCCCAGGACCCCTTCGGTTCAGGAGAACCAAGGGGTTGCTGTACGGGCTATTCACAATAGCAAGAAAGCCAATGTACGGCTGATTTCAGCCGATGTACGGCTGAAATCAGCTGTACCAGCCTGAAGTGAATAGCCGAACAGTGTTTGGCTCACTTCACTTCTGATCGGTCATTCACTCGGCTGCCCTTAGGCAGCTTTGTGAATAGACCCCTATATTTACAAGCTGTTTTGATACTATCAATTTAACACTCTCCTTTTTAGTATCTCTATTGGGCAAGATTACTCTTTGTGATATTTTATAAAGATAGATTTTATAGGTTGATAGTTACTACCCGTTTTTTTGAGTACTTTATCAACCTACCTCTTTGTGCTCTTAAAGCAGAACTACACCCTACACTAAACTACACCCAAGGAAGGTGCTATCTTAACCTCTATTTGGATTGCAGTTGCCTGGTACTGTACATGTGATCAGCTATGAAATCAGCCATTTGAGGGATTGAAAGTTTGGTTGAGAACTGAAATAAGCACATTGGAAACCTTAACAGAAAAGGGTTTTCCTTTATTGTAATAGGTTCTATTACAGGTTAGGTTCTATTAGGTTCTATAAACTTTCATAGTAGTTTTACAGCCTAAACTAAATGTGAGTGAACATTATTGTGAAGACAAGCTAAAGTCAGGTGTACACATATATCTTTTCTTTGTTCAACCTGCCAGCTGAATGAAGAAGATATCGCAGATTCCTCCATCAACACTTACGAGGAATCTTCTGCTTTTTCCTTTGAATTCTGACAGATGTCACTGGTCGCTGACAGAATACCCAAACAGAGCTAGTAGCTGATTGGCTGAAAGCTCTGTTCTGCTGAGAATTTTCTGACATGCGTGCCCGCTAGGGGGCGCGCGCGAGCAGAAAAAAATTGCCGTCTGGAGACGGCAACCCGCAGATGCAGCAGTGCCGTCCGTCCGTCCGTTTTTTTACTACGGGCGGACGGCAAGTGGTTAAATCAGCTGATCAAGTTGGAAGGGTGCCAGTTGGAAGGGTGCCAACAGTGGCACCAATGCAACAAATTTCATCCGCTTCATCAAGAACTGGCAGAAATTCGATGTTTGTATACCCTACTTAAGCAGCACATGTAGACATTGGCTGCTATATATGAACAAACCTGCATTATGTGAGCAATTAAACAATTTATGATTTGATCACCAAATGTGATTATTGATTGAATTATAGATTTGCCTATCTTACTCACTACGTTCTGCTGTTTTACAAGTCATGTAAGTTGCAATTGTAATTATTGTATGTTATGATATAGGTGGGTTGTTGATCTAAGAGTATACAGACAGTGGCAGTATGTTTCCCTCTTGTCCTATAGGTATGTTTCATCCATGTTTAGAGGACCTATAATGTTGTAACTCTTAACAGCTTTATTAATTTTTTTCAGTTATTTCAAGTCCAGTTGCATGGCTAAAATTATATATCCTTATCCTTGGGTGAAAGCTCTGTGAATTGAGCCTATAGCACTTAAAACTATATTGAATTCAAAATGTCAAATTTTGGATGTAATATCATTTAAATTATCTATTTGAAATGCTGATGAAATCACTTACAATGTCTGCTGCTCTTTCATTTTTAAAAGTTTTAATTTCCTGCAAAATCAGCTGAGCACTGGTCCTGATATCCTGTTTTAGGGTGGCTCCTTTCCCTTGCAGAGTCCTACGGAGAAACCCTTGTGTGTGTCCACAAACATACAGGCACAGCAAGATAAGCCTCTCCCCAATTTCCCTCTTTCCCCTCTCCTGCCTCCTCCCCTCTCCAATGGGAGTCTGTGCTGTCCCTTGTGATCTTGTACTGGACAGCAAGATCAGCAAAGCTGAGCTAAGTGAGTTGGAGCTGTTAGGGTAGGGTAAGGATAATGGCTTGGACCTGAAAGTCTTTCAAAAGTTTTGCGTTTTGTTAGTGAAACTCACCGGTTTTTGATGCACAGTTCGGTGCTACTTGTCCATTAGAGCATGTACACATGTTTGGACGGGAACAAAATCCTTCATCACAGCTGTTTCTACAAATTGCTACATACAGAAAAAAATATTTATTAATATTTATATTTCAATTGCCATATAATCGTAAATTATGTTTTAGTATAAGAGTGTTAAGTAATGGAAAGGCATCTTTTATATTTAAACATATTCATAAAGCTTCAGGTATAATGTGAACTCTACAGGAAAAAAGAATATGCAGACTGTATATTATGAAAAAGATGGCCGCCAAATGTCAGTTTAACCTATTTATTGTCCAATTATGTATTCAAGCCATACACAGCACAGTGTTTTAGGCCAATCTTGCCCTGTTAGGTGTTTGATTGGCACAAAAGGCTATTCATTTGGCAAATTCGTTTGGTAAACTGACATCTGTGGATCTTTTTCATGGTGTATACAGTTTAAAATTGGAAGCCTCTGAGAATCAAATAAATATGAGCAGTGAACTAAGCAATACAAGATAGTGCAACTGTATGGAATATCCCTCATACTATGTAACAAATCTTCCTGTGAGGCCTAGTGATTGTGTAATGGCAATATTGTTGTGTAACATACATAGTGTACTGATTCAGCTGCTTTTTGCCAGTCAATAAGTTCATTGCCAGGTTTATGTAGGATACATTGTAAAATGTTGATTCTTTATACCAGTACAAGAGCACCACAACAGTGGTTAAGTAGTCAAAGATAATTTTTTTTAACCATACAAGTCCAAAGACAACAAGCCAATATGTATCAGCAACTCTTAGATCCTATTTCATCAGGGTTTAAACTGCTGGTTTAAAGGGCATGTTGGAATTAAATGGCTGATTCAAACAATACATTGGCTCTTTCTTCCAAAACCATGCTTCAGCACATAACTAGCTACTAAAGAATGGGGTAGGCTATAAGAATGTATATTTCCATATGCCTTAGTTAAAAACGAGGATCAATTCCCATTATAATACAACTCAAGGCTCCTGTATTGTAATCTAAACAAGTGCCATATCCAGTTACTATGTGATGCACAAGCCTTATCAAATCAACAAGAACTGACTAAACCAAATTCTCCTTTGTGTCTCACATGCTTCCCCTCCCAGACAGTGCAGTTTGCAGTGGGAGGGGTTCAACAGCAGTGCTGTCATTTCAGAAAGCAGTGGGCAGCACAAGGTGTGGTCAGGTTTTGACTGACAATTACAGGACACACCATTACAGGAAGCTGAATTAGATGGACTTCACTGGCAGGATCTATATGTATTTGTGGAACTTTGCAGAGGGAGTAAGAGAAAACTGTAAGTGCAGTTGCACGTATAATTAAGTGTTGCTGCACATATTTTTTAAAAGGAAGGCAGGGGCGGACTGGGCCGGGGGGCAGGGTGGCAATTGCCCCCCGGGCCTCTCTGATGCCATCGCGAACGGACTTCTGAGATGATACGCTATTAGCGTAGCGGGAGCGATGCAAAATGCGCAGCCGGCTTCCTCACTATGCTAATAGCGTATCTTCTCAGAAGCTGCACATAGCGCGCGCCAGTTTAAGTAGTAACCAGCACTTGCCGTACGCAGCTCCTAACAGCGTGGGAGATGGGAGGCCGCGCTTGTCGGTGGATCCAGGGATCAGGTGAGCATTAAAAAAAAAAAATTGCTTTATTTTATCTTCCCGGGAACATAACAATACATTCACACTACTGTTACATGAATGGCAAAAGTGGCAGGCATGGGCGGGGAGAAGGCGGGGAAGAGGCAGAGCGGGGCCAAGTCGCTGCACCATGGGCCTCTGGGTTGTACTTGCCCCCTGGGCTAAAAGTTGCCAGTCAGCCCCTGATGGAAGGCCAAAGTTCTACTTGAATGATTAGTGGCTCATGTGCATAGGTTAAATAGGATTTACATTTTCCATCATTCCTGAATTCCAATAAGACTAGGGGTGAAACTGAATTATAATAACCTATGTGTTAGTTTGTGTAGTCCATCTACCATAGGAGCAGTACAGTAAAACAGACACTTACGGACAATGCACTGATTTCCTCCAGGGAGCGTTTTCCATCCAGGGCAGCAATAAGAATGGAATCTAGATCCGCACACATTTGGCCTTTTAAAAACAGTGATGACAATAATAATAATGTTAATTACATGCATTAAAACAGATGTATGTAAAAAAAATATGCAATTAGGGCAATTCCGTTAGAGTTAGAAAGCTCTGCATGTGGAATGAGAATTTCCATTAAAGAAGGACTCTGACCTATACAAAACTGTAATGTAGCATTCAACAGCACTCTAGTGGGAGCATACCCTTGGGTGTTGCTCCTGTCTACTGTTACCTCTGTTGACATTCCTGATGTATTCAATAAAGTACACCTGTCATAAGGAAATTATGGAAGCTGCGGTTACTGACTTCTCTTTTGGAAAATGTTAGTTGACTAGAAGTCATTCTGACATTCTTGCTTCAAAATGTGGATAAGGACTTTCAACTTTGCTCATCTGCATACTGGTTTGGACCAATGACTTAGAAAGTATTAAACCCAGGCTGTCAGGAGAAATTTCATCCCCATATTCCCTTCCTAATTGGCCTTATTCTAGGTCTAGTAGATAATTGCAAGATCATACATAAGTTTTTTTCTTTACTTTAAAAAAAATGAATAATGGAGGAAAGTGCAATGTTTTAAGATAAGATATTGTCTGAACAGTGGTTGTTAAAAAATAAGGTAATACCTTAGTGAGCAATGTTACAACACACAGCTGCCTTCCTGCCTATTTTTTTTTTCTGTTACCAAACATTGCAATAAAGCAGCGGTACAGAGATACTGCACACCCGACATTTTATTAAAGATGCTAGCAAACCTGTACCCATTTGGGAACAGTATGGACTAGGAATGCAGTCCAGTGTTTGGTGACTCAAATTATGGCAAAGGCTTGTAGCAATGTATATAGTGTACAGCAGAATGTATACAGTGGGGGAGTGTGGAGAACAAAGTGTGAATCAAAGGGGTTATTCACGAAAGAGACAAAGGATGTAGCCTAACATTCGACTAATCCTTCGGTTCGCTTTGCCTGCAGGAGGCCTTTGGTTCAGCCGAACTGAAGGGCTGCTGTTTAGGATATTCAGAAGACTCCAGAAGACACCCATCATTGGGTGAAATGGAGGCTGACAGCGCTGTTTCTGGGAGGCAGCATGAAAAGGAGATGGGGTATATATGGAGCATGACAACAGAAACAGAGGGTTGGCATGTTAGGCCAAGAAGTGGATGCAGGAGTTTTACATGAATGCAATGTGACCAACCTGTGTGTAATCACAACAAAGCAGTGAGTACTCCTGAGCGGGTGTTTGGTGGTGGTCACTGAACATAAAGCGCAGCTTTACTTGGATTTCATATTCAGAGCTGTTATTAGAACTGTGGTAAAACAAACAGCTCAGTGTACTTATTAAAGGAAGTTTAAAAATTATATAATTGCATAGATTGGTGCATTTATACATTTTTATTGACAAATTTTATAGTATACAAGCACAAACAAAATACAAATGGCAGAACTGCCCTTGTATTTTGTGAAAACTATCCTGAGTTTGTCAGCACTGTCATGACTCATGTTTAGTATATTCATTTGTATTGAAGCTATAGTCTATCATAGGAGTGAGCTTTGAGCGGTGTCTACTTTACAACACACACAGGTACCATGGAGAACAAAAGGGGCCACCCTCCAGAAGGAAGGACAGTGTCAGTATTACTTCAGAAAATGTTTTGAGGATCTGCAGCTGAGTGATAAACAAATAAGCTACATTTTTGTTAATGGTTAAGGTACTTGAATGCATTTATTTTTATCATTCTTTATTTATAATCTCAGAAAAGAAAGATATACAATGCACAGTACAAATGAAGAGAACATTAACATTAACATTAACATTAAGAGAACATTAAACTCAAGGTTGTACATCCAACAGACTTACTGAGACAACGTAATATGCAAAATGGAGATAAAAGCTCCATACAATATATACCAATCCTCCCAAGACAGAACTTTTGTTGATTTTATATACCTTAACACAACTCAGACATACGAAAGTTAGCCAAACACAACAGTAGAAGCAAAAAGAAGATCCAAAAGAATTGTACAGGAAAAGATCACAGCGCTAGTGTCCAAGCAACCAGACAGAAGAAACAAAGACTCAGGGAAAAAAGTGAAAGAAAAAAAAAGGAATGCCAGCAAGGGAGAGCAGCCAGTCCCCACACCCAATCAAGCGGTAGACCTTTGTGATTCCAAATCGTATTCCTGAGAAAGGGCATAGTCATTCCAATAAAACCATGTGTGATTGAACTTTTTCTCGCAGCTGTACAACGAGGCAGTATGGTTTTCCATACGTTCTATCTCCGCAATCTTAGAGTACAACAATGTCAAAGTTGGGGCAGCAGACTGCTTCCAGAGAGCCAGAATGCACAACTTAGCTGCATTAAGCAAGTGAACCAAAAGTGACTTCTTATATCTTTTCCTGGATAGACTGGAGACATGTAGAAGACAGGCAATTGTCCCAAACATCAATTCCTGTAAGCTGCTTGATAAGGTTCCTCAATTCTGTCCAGAAGTGGCAAATCCACGGACATGACAAGAAAAGACATGCACTAAATTACCAACACCCTCCCCACATCTCCAACAAATCCTGGAGGACTGAAGAAACATTTATGTAAAACTGTGGGCACTCTGTACCAATGGGAGAGAAACCTATGGTTATTTTCCTGTATTCTTCTGGAGATGGAGGAGTAATGAGTAAAATAGATGGCGTCACTCTTTTGTTCCGGTGTAAGGAAAATATTCAAATCTCGTTCCCACTTCCCAATAAAGGGGGGAAGAAACCTTCCACCGGATGGATCAAGGCCTTATACATCAAGGAGAGAGAATGTCGCACAGGGTCTTTCTGAATACAAAGGTGATCAAACTATGTCAAAGGAGCTGGAGACCAAACCCTAGGCACCCGTAATGATAGAAAGTGCATGAGTTGGCACATCCGCCAGTCATTCAGCAGAGGGTCTACCAAAGAATGCAGAGCAGAAGCATCCCTCAGTCTACCATTCGACAGAAAATTCACATAGTAAGAATATGTCATGTTTAGGAAAAGTGGAGAAGTGGGTAGCAATCTTCCCAGGACATTCCGGATGACCCACCACTGGGGACAGCAAAGACAGCCCCTGACCAGGAGCAGAAGCTCCCGTAAAGCCCACAAAGATCTTCAAGGAGGGACCAATTAAGGGATGGGTTCACAATAATTTACAGTGTGGAGGGAACCCCTCGCAATGGTACACTCAAAGACGCCTGCTCCGAAGCAATGCATTGTTTGAGATTATGATTTCTGCACCATTCCAAGATTCTGGCTAAATGGGTCACCTTGTAATAGAGGATAGGGCCTGGGAACCCCATCCCATCAAGAGACTTGGGAACCGCAAGCAATTTGTGTGACAGTCCAGACTGCTGAACCAAGAATGGGAAAGATTATTCCATTTCGAGAGGTTCGATTTTACTCTGGACATTAGAGGTTTAAAGTTCGCTGAAAAGATCCTGGAAATGATCGGTGTGATAAGAGTACCTAGATAAGAAATACAATCCTTGGCCCATTTAAACGGAAAAGTTGATATTAGACCCGGAAGCCTATGTGGGGGCATGGAGATGTTGAGCGCCTCAGATTTGTGGAAATTTATTTTACAGTTAGACAACTCGCCAAAGAGAGCAAATTCACTAAGGAGATTTGGAAAAGTTGTCTCAAGTGACAAAACGAAGAACAGGAGGTCGTCCGCAAACGCTGCAACTTTATGAGGATCAGCCCATAAACGAAGACCCTGAATATTAGGATATTAGGATCGTCCCATTAGTCAGAGTAAAGAAAGGGGACAAAGCCTCATTCTGGATCTGGATGGATGACAGTCTGTAAAAGAGGCAGTATCCTAATCGCCAGGATCTTGAAAAAAATGTTTAGGTCTAGATCGAGGAGGGAAATGGGTCTGTAGATGGCACAAGCTGAGAGATCCTTACCCTCCTTAGGAATCACCATAATATGGGCACACAGAGCATCAGAAGGCAGAGAGTGCCTATCCAACATGGGATTAAAAGCTGCAACAAAGTGAGGTGCCAGGAGAAGAGCATACATTTTATAGTACGTGGCCATATAGCCATCCGGCCCTGAAAACTTACCTGGTTTAAGAGACTTCACCACCATCAGAAACTCATCTACTGTCAGCGGCGCCTCTATGGCCACCACATCATCAGCATTAACTAGGGAAACCAGACTCCTCCAGATAGGATTCTATGGAACGTTGCCTAGACTGAGAGCCAGAACCACTGGACTGGGCAGGCAGGTCGTACAAAGATTCATAATAGGAGTGAAAACAGTCCACTATATCGGATGATTTGACCGCCCTGACACCCCTTCTTGGAATTAAATATGCCCCCCACATTAGAATGGAGGGAAACAGGCACATCCCGGTGAAAGGACAGTAAGACTACAGTAAGGCCAATTGCGTATCCCCCCGATCCACCAAGACCCTCCACCCCCAGCCAGAACCAGTTCAGGAGGTACATGACAACAACCGGTAGCCCCCAGCCCCATAGAGGGGGAAATGTCAGGTAGAAAAAGACAAGAGCCACGTCTCGCAGGATAGCCCCTGAGAGGACAGTCCAAAAACACTAACAGACAATACAAATGTGCATAATTCCCCTTAGGGTTCCCAAGAGGCTGGGCAGTATCAGATTCGCTACGGAAATTTCTATGAGGCCCAGAGGGATGTCATTTTAGAGAAAGAGGTGGACAGGCAGCAAACAGGACAACATCCGGAGCTGTCCAATCTGAGATTTCTATTGCAGGGATATCCAGAAAGTGGAAAAGATTGGGGAGTTGTCCTGGCGTTCGAAGCGTAAAAGAGTCACTCCACTTGTGGACATGGAGATGGAATGGGTATCCCCACCGATAAGAGGCACCTGTCCCCTGGATGCGCTCCAGTAAAGGGCACCTGTCACCCCTGGAAAAGCACCTTGTCCCTGTGCCGATGGGGGCAAGGGCCTCTTCCCCACAAGCCTTGGGACATTGGTTGTGGGGGTCTGTGGGCAGGGGGG